TAAGTGACAATGTGGCTGTGGGAGCCCCCTGGGAATGGTGCCCTGTGCAGCTGCCTGGGCCTCACCCCCCAGAACAGACCGACTCCATCACGGCCCCGAACATCTCTGATATTGAAGACACAATGTTCTCGGCGTGCGCAGACGACCTGGATATTTTCATCGCGCAGCAGCAGAAGGCGGCTAAATTTGGATCGGAAAGCGACGAGCTACTTAAGAAGCTGTGAAAGTGGAGGAAAGTGCTAATGAAGAGGGGAGGGGTCTCCTCCCAGGGACCGCGAGCTTCATTCCATGGAGGGGACTCTGGGGGCCCCAGCCTCCTGTAGAAGCAAGATCTCTCTTGTGGAAGACTTTGTATCCTGGAGTGTCTCTTATTGGTCCTGTTTGGCCCCGGTGTGCCATTGTCAGCGCGGAGGAGTGCCCAGCAGGAGGAGTGCTGCCCGCAGGAGGAGTGGAGTGCTGCCCGCAGGAGGAGTGCTGTCTGCAGGAGGAGTGCTCCCCGTGCTGCCCGCAGGAGGAGTGCTGTCCGCAGGAGGAGCTCACCTGTATGGCATGGTACTCCAGTCCTGGGACAGAATGTGGAAGGATTTCAGGAGCCGGACAACGAGAGTCTACAACACGGCATGGAGAGCCGGGCTCTGACACGGAACGTCTCCTGATGGTTCCCCGGAATCTGCAGCCGGACAGGAAATACAGAAAGAACTTTTCTTTCTCTTTTTTATGTCAGTTGTGTCCAGGAAGTCACATGATGTGGCCTGAGATGGACCCAAATATTGGTGCTGGTAGTTGTTGGTGCCGAACCCCCCAGTGCAGAGGAGATCCTCACATTACCCATCTGTGCCAACTCTTCCTGTAAGCCTGGTAGTAACCCCAAACCTAAAACTCACCTCCCCTGTAACCCCAAACCTAACACCTTCCCTGTAACCCCAAACCTAACACTCACCTCTGCAAACCTAACACTCACCTCCGCAAACCTAACACTCACCTCCGCAAACCTAACACTCACCTCCCCCTGTAACCCCAAACCTAACACTGACCTCCGCAAACCTAACACCTCCCCTGTGACCCCAAACCTAACACTAACCTCCCCTGTAACCCCAAACCTAACACTGACGTCCCCTGTAACCCCAAACCTAACAGTCACCTCCACAAACCTAACACTCACCTCCGCAAACCTAACACTCACCTCCGCAAACCTAACACTAACCTCCCCTGTAACCCCAAACCTAACACTGACGTCCCCTGTAACCCCAAACCTAACAGTCACCTCCACAAACCTAACACTCACCTCCGCAAACCTAACACTCACCTCCCCTGTAACCCCAAACCTAACACTGACCTCCCCTGTAACCCCAAACCTAACACCTTCCCAGTAAACCCCAAACCTAACACTCACCTCCACAAACCTAACATTACCCTCCCTTGTAACCCCAAACCTCACATTACTCTTCCCTGTAACCCCAACACTAACACTGACCTTTCTGTAACCCCAACACTAACACTGACCTTTCTGTAACCCCAAACCTAACACTCACCTCCCCTGTAACCCCAAACCTAACACCTCCCCTGTAACCCCAAACCTATCACTCACCTCCCCTGTAACCCCAAACCTAACACTGACGTCCCCTGTAACCCCAAACCTAACATTGACCTCCCCTGTAACCCCAAACCTAACACTCGCTCCACAAACCTAACACTCACCTCCCCTGTAACCCCAAACCAAACACTGACCTCCCCTGTATCCCAAACCTAACACTCACCTCCACAAACCTAACACTCGCCTCCCCTGTAACCCCAAACCTAACACCTCCACAAACCTAACACTCACCTCCCCTGTAACCCCAAACCTAACACTCACCTCCACAAACTTAACATTACCCTCCCTTGTAACCCCAAACCTCACATTAACCTCCCCTGTAACCCCAACACTAACACTGACCTTCCCCTGGAACCCCAAACCTAACACTGACCTTCCCTATAACCCCAAACCTAACACTTCCCTTCCCTGGAGGGCAATGGAGCTCTCAGACCATTCTTCTCCAGGCAGTTGGAAGGGGCTGGAGGGATGTAGATATTGGGAGGGTCCAAGTGGATTGATAATTATAGAGAGACCAATAGGAGGGCGGCACATAGCTGCACCCTTCCCAGAATCCTCTGCTTGTGGTCGCTCCAACAATTCTGCTGGATCCATTCATCGGCAGTTCCTGAAGTTCTGATTAGTGGAAGAGGAAGAATAAGTAGCATCAGCACCGTCAGCATGTTTTTGTCGTATTTTGAGGCTACGACTTCTGCCAGGCAAACCACCCCAAAAAAAAATCGTTTTCAACAGATCTCAGATAAAAGTCGATCGGGATTCTGCCGCCGTCCGTAATTCTTCAGCCAAAAACATGCAGAAAATCAACACCGAAACCAAGAATGTCCCTTAAAGTCCACGCTGGTTCCGAAACACAGCATACAGCTTTAGGAATCCCTCAGAACTGCGATTTGAAGGATTTCTCTATGTTCCGTGTCGCCCTCGAGGCTCCATGACCGGAACCCCGTCCGCGGAGAATTTTTGGCTTTAATTTTTGGCTACGGCACCGGCTCCCATGGCAATGCCCACCTTCCTGCGCGGTTCACCGTGGTAGTGGGCCCCATTGCTGATGTCATTAGCAGGAACTATGCCCCATTGTTGGTGCCAGTTTGAGCGCCTCATCATTGGTGTCAGTGGGAGGAATAGTGCCCTACGGTTGGTGTCAGTTTGAGTACCTCATCATTGGTGTCAGCGGGAGGAATAGTACCCTGTTGCTGGTGTGTCAGTGGGAGAAATAGGGCCCCATTGCTGATGTAATTAGCAGGAACCATGCCCCATTGTTGGTGCCAGTTTGAGTGCCTCGTCAGTGGGAGGAATAGTGCCATATTGTTGGTGTCAGTTTGAGTGCCTCATCGTTGGTGTCAGTGGGGAGAATAGTGCCCTGTTGCTGGTGTCAGTGGGAGAAATAGGGCCCCATTGTTGGTGTCAGTGAGCCCCATTGTTGGTGTCAGTGGGAGGAAAAGTGCCTCAATGGCCAGATAAAGGCAAGCAAAGGGCCACAGTTTGGAGACCACTGGCCTAGGCGAATGATGTGCACTATGTGCCCTTTGCCTCCTGGTATTGCATGTCACATAAACCCAGGACTCTGGCCCCCTGGGAACAGAAAATGCCCCAGCATCAGTGGGTGTAAACCATGCCTCTAACTTGGTGGTCAGTGCCAGTAAGAAAAAAAAAAAACACATAGTGCCCTTGGTCAAAAAGAGAATAAACAGTGCCTCATCATTAGTATTGGAGGAATAGTGCCCCATCATTGGTTTCATTGGGTGGAATAGTGCCCCATCGATGGTGTCATTGGAAGGAATAGTGCCCCATCAATGGTGTCATTGGAAGGAATAGTGCCCCATCATTGGTGTCGGTGGGAGGAATAGTGCCCCATCATTGGTGTCGGTGGGAGGAATGGTGGTGGGAGGAATAGTGCCCCATCATTGGTGTCATTGGGTGGAATAGTGCCCCATCGATGGTGTCATTGGAAGGAATAGTGCCCCATCATTGGCATTGAAGGAATAGTGCCTCCTCATTGGGTGGAATAGTACCCTATCATTGGTGTCATTGGGTGGAATAGTGCCCCGTCATTGGGTGGAATAGTGCCCCGTCATTGGGTGGAATATTACCCCATCATTGGTGCCATTGGGTGGAATAGTGCCCCATCGATGGTGTCATTGGGATGAATATTGCCTCATCATTGGTATTGGTGGAATAGTGCTCCATCATTGGTGTCATTGGGATGAATAGTCCCTCAACCTTGGCGTCAATGGAAGGAGTAGTGCCCCATTGCTGGTGTCAGTGGAAGGAAGGGTGTTCCAAGGGTTGGAGTCACTGGCAAAGACCACCAAGGTGTACCTTCTAAATGATGAAGATTTAGGAGACGCCCTTCTAGAATATTACAGGAATCACAAACAGATGTGCATATTTATGTAGTTCAGAAAGAATTTAATGCAACATGTTGCAAGCAACAGAACCATCTGAAACCATCAACAACAAACCCCTTAAGTGCCATGAACCTTCCCCCTCCTAGGGGCCTTCAAGGGGAAATCCCTTTGCTGTGGGGTGCAGCCACTTCATGTGATTTTAAAGTGCAAAAGTGTCACCAAAGTAACGAAACAAAAGTGGTCACCTGAACTTTGGAATACACATCAGGACGCGGCTTCTTCAACATGACGTGAGGACTATCTGACAAATTGCTTGTGACCATGTGCATCCGAACACCAACACGATCCACAAACGTTTGGTGGCAAGTCTTTGACCCAACGTAGGGCCCAATGAAGGTATATGTGTGGTTGATGAGGTGTACTTAAGGCTGCGGGGGGAACTCTGTGCTTATGAAAGACGTTATGTCATCTGGAATTTGTCCCAAAAGCTGCAAACTACCATCTTGACGTGTGCTCCTCTCTTTGTGCCTCCAGGGAGAGGGATGGGTTTGTGGTAGGCCTCATAGAAGTTCCATCACGGGTGTGGTGGGTTCCTTACCTTCTCACCAATCAGCACTGTGCTGGTGTAGACCCAATCAAAGCATTTGGAGTACTAAGCCTCAGCTTCTTGTTCCATCTCCTTTGACTATGAATTCATCTATGAGCGCCAGACGTATCAGAGGGCAGGGAATGGTGGTGAAGGGCAGTCCATTGGTTGTGTTGTACTGGGTTCTCTGATATTGAACGTATTACAATGCTGGTCATTTTACAAGGTCAACTACACTATTACAGTTACTGATCCTTCACTTCTCCCGTATTTCACTGTCACTTGCAGCTCCTCTACTATTAGGAGTTGGACTCTGGACCCCAGTTCTCTTCTCTGGGGCCAGCAAGGTTCTACCATGAGGGCAACATCAAGATGACTAAAGCAGTTTTGAGAGCTATGGTCTTGGCACTTTCTGTGGTCCATTCCCTGATATGGATGATAAGAGGGCAGCAGGGACCATTGAATTGGCTTTTTTCTAATTCTCTTTGGATCTCTCTACAGCAAGGAACGTGTCCAGCAGGCCTCCTTGCAGTTCTGAATCACTGAGATGCTTCTTCTCCCTCTCTGCTCGCGATCGGGTCCAGGATGGAGAGCGTAGATACCCGGCACGTGGCAGAGGAGGCAACTGTAGACCTGCAAATGAAGAGATGGTATCAGAGAGGGGGTTCCCCTAGACACAAAATCCTAAGGTGTAAATTTAAACAGAGAAATGTATCTGGGAGGCCTAGAACTTAGTGCCGTCCTTTCCTGCCTAACAAGGTCATGGGAAGAGATGGAGAGCTGAGCTGGTCGTTCGCGTATTCAGAGCACGATCTCCCTCCACACTGGAATTGTTTTATGAAAGGTTCATTAGCCTTGGGATAGATGCTGAGTCACCTGCAGAGTTGGGTCGTTTTTTACCTTCGGCTTCCTACTCCATCGCAACACAATATATGGATTATCCTGGCTAACTACATTTTGGATGGCAGATCATTTTCCAAGGTCACCGGGGGGGGGGGGGGGCCTTGGCTATTCGGAATTTATTTATACCATCACACTAAAGCTTTAGAAGGACATATCTCCAAGCCGCCCTTCTGCCTGATTAGGTCATGTTGTGTAACCGTTCAGGGTTGTCTCCAGGTCTTCCTCCTCTCCACCATCAGGACAGGAGGCTAATCCCCGTCATTAAAATAGAAGTAAAGTAGCCATTGAACGCCCTATTTGCTGCATCTCATCGCCCGGCTCCTTCCATCCACCCATCAAATCGATCTGGTGGACTGGATTCTGGTGCCCGGTGAGGTAGTCATCCCGAGTAGTCCGCTGTATACGGTATATATTCAGTTATGTACCAACAGCCTATTGTTTTCTATTGTATCTAATGTAACAGTCAGGAAGGGCATGCCAGTAAACAAGATGGCTCCTCTGGATGGTCTTCTGGGCACATTCACAGGCTAATACATGTTCCTTCTCGTGCACAAAGGAAATGGGAGTGCGCACAATGGTGCGCATACACGTGTGCGTTGGTATGATCTTGTGCACTCGTGATGTTGGCGCCAGACAGGCTACTTAAACTGCCAGTGCTCCGGGTCAGAGCTGCTTTGTCTTCAGCCTCCAGTGGATCCCGTGTTCCTGTGATCCCATATCCTGATTCCAGTTGCTGACCCGGCTAGGCCTGACTTCCCCCTGAACTCTGCCTGCACTGACCTCGGGCTTGTCCTCTGACCTCCGCTCCTGTCTGTTCAATTGGCTTCTGCTTCACTGATCGGTTCCAGACCCGGCTTGCACCCTGACCTTGTCTCTGCCTGTACCCCATACCCAGTATTGGGACAAAGTCACCTCGCACCCAGTGCAAAGATGGCAGATGGCACCCCCCCCCCCCAATGTGTGGACGTTATGTGTCAGCAACCCTCCTCCTCCCCCCCCAAAAAAATGTTTGCGCTCTAATCTTCCTCCCACTAATCTTCACACTTACCCCCTAAGCATAAATTCCCTTTGCAAGCTAAAATTCTCCCCCCCAAAAAATTCCCCCTCTTCCAGTACAAATCCCCCATCCCCCCCAAATCCTCTCCCCCTCCCCAAATCCCCCCTCCCAGCCTAAATCCTCTCCCTCCCCAAATCCCCCCTCCCAGCCCAAATCCTCTCTCTCCCCAAATCCCCCCCCTCCCAGCTCAAATCCTCTCTCTCTCCCCAAATCCCCCCTCCCAGCTCAAATCCTCTCTCTCCCAAATCCCCCCTCCCAGCTCAAATCTCTCCCTCCCAAATCCCCCCTCCCAGCCCAAATCCTCTCCCTCCCCAAATCCCCCCCTCCCACCCAGCTCAAAATCTTCTCCCTTCCCAAATCCCCCCTCCCAGCCAAATCCCAGTCCTCAAATCCCCAGCTCTCCCTCCCCAAATCCCCCATCCAGCCCAAATCCTCTCCCTCCCCCATCCCAAATCCCCCCCAAATCCCCCCACCCAGAAATCCTCTCCCTCCCCAAATCCCCCCCACCCAGCATAAATCCTCTACCTCCCCAAATCCCCCCTCCCAGCTCAAATCCTCTCCCTCCCCAAATCCCCCCTCCCAGCTCAAATCTTCTCCCTTCCCAAATCCCCCCTCCCAGCCCAAATCCTCTCCCTCCCCAAATCCCCCCCACCCAGCTCAAATCCTCTCCCTCCCCAAATCCCCCCCACCCAGCTCAAATCTTCTCCCTTCCCCAAATCCACCCTCCCAGTCCAAATCCTCTCCCTCCCCAAATCCCCCCTCCCAGCCCAAATCCCCCCCCCAGCCCTGAAATCCTCCCCCCCCCCCCCACCCAGCATAAATCCTCTACCTCTCAAATATCCCCTCTTAGCATAAATCCTCCAAATCCCCTCTGAGCATAAATCCTCCATCCCCCTCCAAATCCCCCTCTCCCAGCACAATTCCCCCAAATCCCCTCTCCTACTATCACTACTCCTTCCCCCCCAAATCTCTCTTCCTAACAGAAATCCTCCCTCCAAATGACTTCTAGCATAGCCCCCCAAATCCCCACTGCTCCCAGGGCAGCTGACCCTCCTGTCCACCCCTTGTCCTGGCCCTGCCTGTAGGTGGTCCATCCTGCCTGTGTATGACCCGGCCCGCCTGACTCTGCTGTCACCGGTACCTACCTACCACCCTGCTGCTCCTGCTACTGGCAGCATGTCCTCTGCCGGCTGTCATCAGTTCCAATCTCCTGTGGTCCGCTGCCTGCTCCACTGAAGACCCCTGATGACTTCACCCGGGGGCCCCGAGTCAAGGGTGTAAGAGGGGCCTTCCTCCTCATTTCAGGCTCTGCTTCCAGGCATGTGATGAGCACTAGATAGGTGCAAGGTTGGGTAAATGTAGTTGTTGGCTCACTGTAATCCATGTATCTGTGAGCGATTATTCTGGTCTGTTCTGCGTTTCACTGGTTGCAGGGCTGACTGCTTCCCTTTGTCTTTCTGGAGGGTTCTGGAAGATAGTGGGCTGGGAGAATCAAATCAGCAGCTGAAAAGTTATGCATCTCCAGCCAATCCCTGGAGAGAGGTACCCAGGTGGAGGCTGTGAGTGCATATAAATACTCTGAGACTTGTACCAGAAGTGTCTTGTCCTATAGGAGGAGACCACAGCCTGGGGGGGGCTGTTTGCCTCCTGGGCAGGTTGGGCCGCTGGTTGGGCCGCAGGTTGGGCCGCTGGTTGGGCCGCTGGTTGGGTTGCAGGTTGGGCCGCAGGTTGGGTTGCAGGTTGGGCCGCTGGTTGGGCCGCAGGTTGGGCCGCAGGTTGGGCCGCAGGGTTGGGCCGCAGGTTGGGCCGCTGGTTGCAGGTTGGGCCGCTGGTTGGGCCACTGGTTGGGCCGCAGGTTGGGCCGCTGGTTGGGTCGAAGGTTGGGCCGCTGGTTGGGTCGCAGGTTGGGTCGCAGGTTGGGCCGCAGGTTGGGCCGCAGGTTGTGCACATTGCTAATGATAAAACAAAATGGCTACAAACGTTTGTCACAATCGGGAGATCGGGTTGGATTCATTGATTTTGCATTACAGTAGCCCTGGAGTGAGACTCAAGGAAGGGAAATGTTGGACATGGAGGACGGAGCTCAGCAGACATCCGGGATGAATTATTAAAGGAGTTAAAAATCTCGATTCGTTAAATGTAAGCGAAGATTTACCTCCATCTCCCAATCATACGGCCAGCAAATTCCGGTCTGTTCCATCGATTGGGAATACAAGGTGATCACAGCTACAACTGACTGAAGATTCTCAGCTCCTTTATGAATCCTCCCCGGCGGGATCTACATTGTGATTTCACCAGGAGATGTACCATTGGAAGGAAGCCACGTGTTGTGGGACCTTCTCCTCCGCCTAGTTCAGGTCTCTAGTTTGAGTTCTAGTAGGAGATGTACCATTGGAAGGAAGCCACGTGTTGTGGGACCTTCTCCTCCGCCTATTTCACGTCTCTAGTTTGAGTTCTAGTAGGAGATGTACCATGAGAAGGAAGCCACGTGTTGTGGGACCTCCTCCTCCGCCTAGTTCACGTCTCTAGTTTGAGTTCTAGTAGGAGATGTACCATTGGAAGGAAGCCACGTGTTGTGGGACCTTCTCCTCCGCCTAGTTCAGGTCTCTAGTTTGAGTTCTAGTAGGAGATGTACCATTGGAAGGAAGCCACGTGCTGTGGGACCTCCTCCTCCGCCTAGTTCAGGTCTCTAGTTTGAGTTCTAGTAGGAGATGTACCATTGGAAGGAAGCCACGTGTTGTGGGACCTCCTCCTCCGCCTAGTTCACGTCTCTAGTTTGAGTTCTAGTAGGAGATGTACCATTGGAAGGAAGCCACGTGTTGTGGGACCTCCTCCTCCGCCTAGTTCACGTCTCTAGTTTGAGTTCTAGTAGGAGATGTACCATTGGAAGGAAGCCACGTGTTGTGGGACCTCCTCCTCCGCCTAGTTCACGTCTCTAGTTTGAGTTCTAGTAGGAGATGTACCATTGGAAGGAAGCCACGTGTTGTGGGACCTCCTCCTCCGCCTAGTTCACGTCTCTAGTTTGAGTTCTAGTAGGAGATGTACCATTGGAAGGAAGCCACGTGTTGTGGGTCCTCCTCCTCCGCCTAGTTCAGGTCTCTAGTTTGAGTTCTAGTAGGAGATGTACCATTGGAAGGAAGCCACGTGTTGTGGGATCTCCTCCTCTGCCTAGTTCAGGTCTCTAGTTTGAGTTCTAGTAGGAGATGTACCATTGGAAGGAAGCCACGTGTTGTGGGACCTCCTCCTCCGCCTAGTTCACGTCTCTAGTTTGAGTTCTAGTAGGAGATGTACCATTGGAAGGAAGCCACGTGTTGTGGGACCTCCTCCTCCGCCTAGTTCAGGTCTCTAGTTTGAGTTCTAGTAGGAGATGTACCATTGGAAGGAAGCCACGTGTTGTGGGACCTCCTCCTCCGCCTAGTTCACGTGTCTAGTTTGAGTTCTAGTAGGAGATGTACCATTGGAAGGAAGCCACGTGTTGTGGGACCTCCGCCTAGTTCAGGTCTCTAGTTTGGATGGACGTCATACCTGGTGGTGGCGGCTCGTTGTGCGGGTTTTCATCGTCCGAGTCGGCGAACACTTCGGCCAGTTCCTGATCTGACATATCTGTGAGTTCCGTCAGGTCCAGGAGATCAAAGTGCACTTCAAGGGACGAGACGCTGCTCAGAGGCTCTGCAAAGGTGCCAACAAAAGACCCGTCACTCCACCCGACCCATACAGAGGAAGAACGACCCTTTATACACCCATCGAACATTCGTGGACATCAGCCAGGAGAGCCAGAGACTCAGAACTTACAAATCCCAATATTTAGCTCTTTTCACCCAATGCAGCAGCGGGAGGGAGAGGAGAAGAAGCCGGATTTCAGCTGCTACAGGAAGAGCCATTCAGGGGATCGGTTCCAGTAATCCCCCCTCCCCCCCATGCCGTGCTGATCGTCCTCCCTGCCCACATCCAATCCACCCAGCTGCCTGGCCCCCCCTGCTGGCCGGGGCCCTGTACAGTAGCACCGGTGGTACCCCCTTATCCACGGCCCTGCACACCATAGAAGCCAGTGAGCGATTTCTTTGCCCTCCTAATGGTTTTGTTCGATGAGTTTCAGCTGGGTGCAGATTGGACATACAGGGGCCCTCTTCATGACATTGGGGGGGGGGGGGGGGGTCCGTGATGTGAAAACCACAATATTCCGGCACTCAACACTTACGTCTTCTTTCTGTGACCTGCAGGAGGCCGGAATTTGGTGCCAGGATCCCGGATTCTTCTTCTACCACCGGTGAATGTTGGGGTTCCTCTACAGTCACCTCTGATGGGGCCCTAGGGGGCGGTACAGCCGGGCTCTCGGCTTCTCTGCTCTGCTCTGCACAGGCTGCAATGGAGAGAAATACAAAAATACAACATTGGATACAAAGTATAAACCACAAAGAGATAAGAACAGGCAAACCGACCAGCGAGGTGGGATATGATGTCCTGAGAGCCCCCCAGTCTGGGAGAAGCCCGACACCAAATCAGGTGACACCTCCAGCTTAGCCAAATACCATCTTGGGTAAGGAGTCGGATAGAAGAGGAGTCCTTCACGGCCCAACCAATCAGATGAAAATCAGCCCCGAAAAATGACAGCTTGAATATTACAGTCACATCGTTGGATGAATGAAGACAGCAGTCCGTCCAGCTCAGCCTCTGCGTCTCAATACTTTTCCCATATCCCTGTATATTGCATTCACCAAGATGCCCATCTAAGTGCTTTACTGACACTCCCTGCGTACACCACCAACTGTAGAAGGGAGTTCCACATCTTTACCACTCTGACAGTAAAGAACCCCCTACGCTGCACCCCTGCAGAGGTCTAAATCTAATCCTCACTTATTGTGAAAGGTAGAGGCTCCACCGCTGTCATCCTTAGCCTGACTTCACCACATACAAGGTGGTGTCAAAAAGGTTCCAGACTAGTTTTGTAACACACCAACAGATGGCAGCACAAGGCTGCACGCACACAGTCACAGGGAGCACCGACCTTTATAAGTCAGTGTGGAGAAAGACATGGTCCTGTGTACATGGGGAGCTGTGCAACTGGTATTCTTCTGACCACGTGTGTTACCACATCTGCCATTTCATCAAGAAAGAGCCAACATGAAATTCTGCGTGAAACCGGACAAATGTTCCACTGAGAAGTCTGTCAGGATTCGGCAGGTTTATGGCGATGACGCAATGAGTCGTTCGAGGTGTTCTGAGCGGCATGCGCTCTTCAACAGTGGAAGATGAGAGATCAGGAAGACCTTCAACGAGTTCAACCCCCAAAAATGTGGAAACCATTCGGGGACTTGTGTATGACGATGGTAGGAGAACGATCCTCAACATGGCCGCCATTGTTGGTGTGTCATACGAAACAGTCCAGGAAATCCTCACGTGTGATTGGAACATGCACTGTGTTGCTGCCAAGTTTGTCCCCCAGGCTGCTGACCCAGGAGCGGAAGGAACACCACGCCGAAGTCTGCCAAGAAGACTCCATCAATGTGCCGTGGATGAGCCATCCTTCATGTCAAGGATCATTACCGGTGATGGAACTTGGGTGTATGGGTCTCACACAGAATTTCACGATTGCTCTCTCTTCTATCTTGCTGTCCATGATGAAATAGCAGACGTGGTAACACATGTGGGCAGAATAGCGCCAGTTGCACAGCTCCCAATGTACACAGGACGATGTCTTTTGGCACACTGACTTATGAAGGTTGGTGCTCCCTGTAACTGTGCATGCAGCCTTGTGCTGCCATCTGTTGGTGTGTTCAGAAACTAGTCTCAAAACTTTTCCACCCCCTACCCACCTCTGAGCACCGTTCCTTGGTTCCACCCCCTACCCGCCTCTGAGCACCGTCCCTTGGTTCCACCCCCTACCCGCCTCCGAGCACCGTCCCTTGGTTCCACCCCCTACCCGCCTCCGAGCACCATCCCTTGGTTCCACCCCCTACCCGCCTCCGAGCACCGTCCCTTGGTTCCACCCCCTACCCGCCTCTGAGCACCGTCCCTTGGCTCCACCCCTACCCACCTCACCGAGCACCGTCCCTTGGTTCCTTAGTTCCACTCCCTACCCGCCTCTGAGCACTGTCCCTTGGTTCCACTCCCTACCCGCCTCCGTGCACCGTCCTTAGTTCCACTCCCTACCCGCCTCCGGTTCCTTGGTTCCACTCCCTACCCACCTCTGAGCACCGTTCCCTTGTTCCACCCCTACCCACCTCCGAGCACCGTCCCTTGGTTCCACTCCCTACCCACTCTGAGCACCGTTCCTTGGTTCCACTCCCCTACCCGCCTCTGAGCACCGTCCCTTGGTTCCACTCCCTACCCGCCTCCGAGCACCGTCCCTTGGTTCCACCCCCTACCCGCCTCCGAGCACCGTCCCTTGGTTCCACTCCCTACCCACCTCCGAGCACCGTCCCTTGGTTCCACTCCCTACCCGCCTCCGAGCACCGTCCCTTGGTTCCACCCCTACCCGCCTCCGAGCACCGTCCCTTGGTTCCACCCCCTACCCGCCTCCGAGCACCGTCCCTTGGTTCCACCCCCTACCCACCTCCCTGGTTCCACCCCCTACCCCGCCTCCGCACCGTCCCTTGGTTCCACCCCTACCCGCCTCCGAGCACCGTTCCTTGGTTCCACTCCCTACCCGCCTCCGAGCACCGTTCCTTGGTTCCACCCCCTACCCGCCTCCGAGCACCGTTCCTTGGTTCCACCCCCTACCCGCCTCCGAGCACCGTTCCTTGGTTCCACTCCCTACCCGCCTCCGAGCACCGTTCCTTGGTTCCACCCCCTACCCACCTCCGAGCGCCGTCCCTTGGTTCCACCCCCTACCCGCCTCCGAGCACCGTTCCTTTTAGAGAATACACAGCCAAGTATCATTTTGTGGCACTAAATAATATGTATGGAATTTGTTAATAACAGGAAAAGCAGTAAAATAGATCCCTCAGATCCAACAGCAATAAAACCTCCAAGTAACAATAGATCCCCTGACAACAATGGGCTTCCACAAAATACCACCCCAGCAACATCAGATCTCCCAGCAGTCAGCAACAACAGACTCTCCAGACAGCAACAATAGACCCCTTCCTCAACAGTAGATCCCTTTCAGCAACAAATGATCCCCTCAGCAACAACAGATTCACCAGAACAATAGATTTCCCCCAGCAACAACAGATCCACCAGAACAATAGATTTCCCCCAGTAACAATAGATCCACCAGCATTCAGCAACAATAGACCCCTCAATCAGCAGTAGATCCCTTCCAGTAACATAACCCTCTCCCCAGCAACAACAGACCACCACACAACAATAGATACACTCCAGCAACAATAGATTCCCCCAGAACAATAGATTTCCCCAGTAACAATAGATCCACCAGCATTCAGCAACAATACACCCCTCAACCAGCAGTAGATCCCTTCCAGCAACATAACCCTCTCCCCAGCAATAACAGACCACCACACAACAATAGATCCACTCCAGCAACAATAGATCCCCCAGCATTCAGCAACAATAGACCACTCAGTCAGCAGTAGATCCCTTCCAGCAACATCATCCTCTCCCCAGCAACAACAGACCACACACAACAATAGATACACTCCAGCAACAATAGATCCCCCAGCAACCAGCAACAATAGACCCCCCACTCAGTCAGCAGTAGAACCCCTTCCAGCAACATCATCCTCTCCCCAGCAACAATAGACCACCACACACAAATATATCCCCTCCAGCAACAATAGATCCCCCAGCAACCAGCATCAATACAGCCCCCAGCGCGCCCCAGAACCCCCCTTACATACAATCAGAGTTGGGGGTGCCTGACCCGCCCCCCCCCCCCCCGGCTGTAACTATATTCAGCTCTGGTAATCTTTCCTTATTTATTCATGAATGTTAATAAAACATAAATGAGGCCATAAAACTGTCACTCAGGTGCAGCAGCTGAGCAATGCGTACGACTCCGGAACTCCCGGGACAAGGTATTCCCGTGATAAACGTCAAATCCACCAAATGAAATGGATGATAACGACATACTCCCCCCCCCCCCCACCCAACCAACCCCCCCCCCCCCACCCCCAACCAACCCCCCCCCCCAACCCCCCCCCCCCCCCCGATACTACTACAAGTCAAATCTGTGTACGTCTCCTTGTGTGTGTTGGGACAGATTGGTCCAATACGGCGCAGATTATCCACACACAGACATGCGGTATCTCCAGCGGTCAGTCCATACCGAGATCACTGCAGAGGACTCCTCTATGGGGGAGGGTCAGATATTAGGCTTTTATATTCATCGCCTTTTTGGTGTTTCGTGATATTTGGGAGGTTCGGGTCGCCCGCCGGCCGTATTTATAAAAGCAAAACTTTATTTTTCTAAAGACAAACCGTTTGCTTCAGCAAAAAAACACAACAAACAAACAAAACAGTCCAGAACCTTCTGGAATACAAAATCAAAACTTGGGCTCACCGCCGGTATAAACTAGTCCCACAACAGGGTGTTGAGTCCCCGCCTGCCCCAGGGGTCCTGCATCTCCGGCAAACAACAGCCCTCTCACATCTGTTGTATGATGGTCCACAGAATAATACCCCACAGACCTGCTGAGAGCTTCCTGCCCCTTTCAGCCCTCTCTTGCAGGTGGGTTAACCCCTTCAGGACCACAGGACCTGTCATTGGAGGCTCTCTCCCACCCAAAAAATCCTGAGAGAGCTGCAAATCAGCTTCCCTGCATGGGTGAGAATCCTCCAGCACCCCAACTCTGCTTCTTTCCTCCCCCTTAAGGGGACCTCCCCCAGTATTTAGATGACCGCAGCTCAAAATCCAGTATTTATATGAATATAGAAGGTCCAGTCAAGGTCCAGTATTTGTATGAATATAGAAGGTCCAGTCAAGGTCCAGTACTTATATGAATATAGAAGGTCCAGTCAAGGTCCAGTATCTATTTTATGAATATAGAAGGTCCAGTCGAGGTCCAGTATTTATATGAATATAGAAGGTCCAGTCAGGGTCCAGTATTTAGTATGAATATAGAAGGTCCAGTCAGGGTCCAGTATTTAGATGAATATAGAAGGTCCAGTCAAGGTCCAGTATTTATATGAATATAGAAGGTCCAGTCAAGGTCCAGTATTTAGATGAATATAGAAGGTCCAGTCAAGGTCCAGTATTTGTATATGAATATAGAAGGTCCAGTCAAGGTCCAGTATTTAGATGAATATAGAAGGTCCAGTCAGGGTCCAGTATTTAGATGAATATAGAAGGTCCAGTCAAGGTCCAGTATTTATATGAATATAGAAGGTCCAGTCAGGGTCCAGTATTTAGTATGAATATAGAAGGTCCAGTCAGGGTCCAGTATTTAGATGAATATAGAAGGTCCAGTCAAGGTCCAGTATTTGTATGAATATAGAAGGTCCAGTCAGGGTCCAGTATTTATGAATATAGAAGGTCCAGTCAAGGTCCAGTATTTAGATGAATATAGAAGGTCCAGTCAAGGTCCAGTATTTAGATGAATATAGAAGGTCCAGTCAAGGGTCCAGTATTTAGATGAATATAGAAGGTCCAGTCAGGGTCCAGTATTTATATGAATATAGAAGGTCCAGTCAGGGTCCAGTATTTAGATGAATATAGAAGGTCCAGTCAGGGTCCAGTATTTATATGAATATAGAAGGTCCAGTCAGGGTCCAGTATTTAGATGAATATAGAAGGTCCAGTCGAGGTCCAGTATTTATATGAATATAGAAGGGTCCAGTCAGGGTCCATATTTGATGAATATAGAAGGTCCAGTCAGGGTCCAGTATTTATATGAATATAGAAGGTCCAGTCAGGGTCCAGTATTTGTATGAATATAGAAGGTCCAGTCAGAGGTCCAGTATTTAGATGAATATAGAAGGTCCAGTCAGGTCCAGTATTTGTATGAATATAGAAGGTCCAGTCAGGGTCCAGTATTTAGATGCAATATGTAACCTATGATGACCAGTATCCGGGTTCCAAGTAGTCCAAACAATCAACAAAACCAGTGGGTCCGGAACACGGAAACCCCTAGAAGTCCCCGAGGGGTCCAATTTGCCTCCAAATAGAAGGATCAAGGTCAGCTGTTGTGTGCTGGAACCTGAACACAGAACGATCTTTCTACCAACATACAACCGTGGAAAGTATGAACATAACATTCCCCATCAGGTCCAGTATTTAGATGACCGAATATAGAAGGTCCCTCTCAGGGTCCAGTATCTGTAGCCAATATAGCAATGCTCCCTGAGTAGCTCTGCACTTGAACCCATCTTCTACCCCCCCATACAGCTTCCATCCTGATGTTTAAAGGTCCTTAGGGTAGTATTTATATTTTAGGCTCCAGCTGGTCCAGTATTCTGCATCTTAATATAGAAGGTCCAGTCGGTCACGAATTTTGTACATATAGCTTATGTAACATATATTTGCACCGATCCTAGGACGCGAAATGGGTCCATACAGAGTGAATTATAGCAGGTTCAGTCAGAGGTGCGCGACATACAGAATGCAGGGTTCCAGGATGTGCGCGACATACAAGTGCAGGGTTATTTAGAGTGCACAATATACAGAGTGCAGGGTTCAGGAGTGCACGCGATATACAGAAGGTCCAGGGTTCAGGATGCACAATAGAAAGAGTGCAGTCAGGGTTCAGGATTTAGTATGAATATACAAGTGCAGTCAAGGTTCCAGTATTTATATGACATAGAAGAGTGCAGGGTCAGGAGTGCACGACATACAGATGCAGGGTTCAGGAGTGCACGACATACAGAAGTGCAGTGTTCCGGAGTGCATGACATACAGAGTGCAGGGTTCAGGAGTGCGCGCGAATATACAGAGTGCAGGGTTCAGGATGCGCGACATACAGAAGTGCAGTGTTCAGGAGTGCATGACACAGGTCCAGTCAGGGTGCAGGGTTCAGGAGTGCACATGACATACAGAGTGATGCAGGGTTCAGGAGTGCACGACATACAGAGTGCAGGGTTTTCAGGAGTGCACGACATACAGAGTGCAGTGTTCAGGATGCGCGACATACAGAGTGCAGGGTTCAGGAGTGCGCGAACATACAGAGTGAGTGCAGGTCATTCAGGATTGCACGACATACAGAGTGCAGGGTTCAGGAGTGCACGACATACAGAGTGCAGGGTTCAGGAGTGCACGACATACAGAGTGCAGGTTCAGGAGTGCGCGACATACAGAGTGCAGGGTTCAGGAGTGCACGACATACAGAGTGCAGGGTTCAGGAGTGCACGACATACAGAGTGCAGTGTTCAGGAGTGCACGACATAACAGAGTGCAGGGTTCAGGAGTGCGCGCGACATACAGAGTGCAGGGTTTCAGGAGTGCGCGACATACAGAGTGCAGGGTTTCAGGAGTGCGTGCGCGAATACAGAGTGCAGGGTTCAGGAGTGCGCGACATACAGAGTGCAGGGTTCAGGATAAGTTCGGCGCGACATACAGAGTGCAGGGTGCTTCAGGAGTGCGCGACATACAGAGTGCAGGGTTCAGGATGTTGCGCGACATACAGAGTGCAGGGTTCAGGAGTGCGCGACATACAGAGTGCAGGGTTCAGGAGTGCACAACATACAGAGTGCAGGGTTCAGGAGTGCTGCACAATATACAGAGAGTGCAGGGTTCAGGAGTGCACAACATACAGAGTGCAGGGTTCAAGGATTAGTGCGCGACATACAGAGTGCAGGGTTCAGGAGTGCATGACATACAGAGTGCAGGGTTCAGGGTTCAGGGTTCAGTGCGCACGACATACAGAGTGCAGGGTTCAGGAGTGTGCGCGACATACAGAGTGCAGGGTTCAGGAGTGCGCGACGACATACAGAGTGCAGGGTTCAGGAGTGCGCGACATACAGAGTGCAGGGTTCAGGAGTGCGCGACATACAGAGTGCAGGGTTCAGGAGTGCACGACATACAGAGTGCAGGGTTCAGGAGTGCACGACATACAGAGTGCAGGGTTCAGGAGTGCACGACATACAGAGTGCAGGGTTCAGGAGTGCACGACATACAGAGTGCAGGGTTCAGGAGTGCGCGACATACAGAGTGCAGGGTTCAGGAGTGCGCGACATACAGAGTGCAGGGTTCAGGAGTGCACGACATACAGAGTGCAGGGTTCAGGAGTGCACGACATACAGAGTGCAGGGTTCAGGAAGTGCACGACATACAGAGTGCAGGGTTTCAGGAGGCCGCGACATACAGAGTGCAGGGTTCAGGAGTGCACGACATACAGAGTGCAGGGTTCAGGAGTGCACGACATACAGAGTGCAGGGTTCAGGAGTGCACGACATACAGAGTGCAGGGTTCAGGAGTGCGCGACATACAGAGTGCAGGGCCAGTCAGGAGTGCGCGACATACAGAGTGCAGGGTTCAGGATTGCGCGACATACAGAGTGCAGGGTTCAGGAGTGCGCGACATACAGAGTGCAGGGTTCAGGAGTGCGCGACATACAGAGTGCAGGGTTCAGGAGTGCGCGACATACAGAGTGCAGGGTTCAGGAGTGCGCGACATACAGAGTGCAGGGTTCAGGAGTGCGCGACATACAGAGTGCAGGGTTCAGGAGTGCGCGCGACATACAGAGTGCAGGGTTCAGGAGTGCGCGACATACAGAGTGCAGGGTTCAGGAGTGCGCGACATACAGAGTGCAGGGTTCAGCGTGCCCTATGACATGCAGAGTTGCAGGTGTTCAGTTGCAGTGCACGACAGTACAGGTAATAGAGTGCGGAGTACAGAGGAGTTCAGGAGTGTACAGAGTGCAGGGTTCAGGAGTGTGCACATACATACAGAGTGCAGGGTTCAGGAGTGCGCGACATACAGAGTGCAGGGTTCAGGAGTGTACAGAATGCAGGGTTCAGGAGAATGCTGTGTACAGGGTGCAGGGTTCAGGAGTGCGCGACATACAGAGTGCAGGGTTCAGGAGTGCGCGACATACAGAGTGCAGGGTTCAGGAGTGCGCGACATACAGAGTGCAGGGTTCAGGAGTGTGCGACATACAGAGTGCAGGGTTCAGGAGTGCGCAACATACAGAGTGCAGGGTCAGGAGTGCGCGACATACAGAGTGCAGGGTTCAGGAGTGTGCGCGACATACAGAGTGCAGGGTTCAGGAGTTGCGCGACATACAGAGTGCAGGGTTCAGGAGTGCGCGACATACAGAGTGCAGGGTTCAGGAGTGCGCGACATACAGAGTGCAGGGTTCAGGAGTGCACGACATACAGAGTGCAGGGTTCAGGAGTGCGCGACATACAGAGTGCAGGGTTCAGGAGTGCGCGACATACAGAGTGCAGGGTTCAGGAGTGCGCTATGTACAGAGTGGGCAGTGTACAGAATGCAGGTTCAGGAGAATGCTGTGTACAGGGTGCAGGGTTCAGGAGTGTGCCGCATACACAGTGCAGAGTTTAGGATTGTGCTATATATACAGGGTGTGCAGTATACAGGGGCAGGGTCAGGACTGCGCTATGTACAGAGTGGGCAGTGTACAGAATGCAGGTGTTTCAGGAGAACGCTGTGTACAGGGTCCAGGAGTGTGCTACATACACGGTTCAGGGTTCAGGAGTGTGCGCTGTGTTCAGGAGTGCAGGGTTCAGGAGTGTGCTGTGTTCAGAGTGCAGGGTTCAGGAGTGTGCTGCGTTCAGAGTGCAGGGTTCAGGAGTGGGTTACATTCAGAGTGCAGGGTTCAGGAGTGGGTTACATTCAGAGTGCAGGGTTCAGGATTGTGCTGCGTTCAGAGTGCAGGGGTTCAGGAGTTGTGCTGCGTTCAGAGTGCAGGGTTCAGGAGTGTGTTACAATCAGAGTGCAGGGTTCAGGAGTGTGCTGTGTTCAGAGTGCAGGGTTCAGGAGTGGGTTACAATCAGAGTGCAGGGTTCAGGAGTGTGCTGAGTTCAGAGTGCAGGGTTCAGGAGTGGGTTACAATCAGAGAGTGCAGGGTTCAGGAGTGTGCTGTGTTCAGAGTGCAGGGTTCAGGAGTGGGTTACATTCAGAGTGCAGGGTTCAGGAGTGTGTTACAATCAGAGTGCAGGGTTCAGGAGTGTGCTGCTGTTCAGAGTGCAGGGTTCAGGAGTGTGTTACAATCAGAGTGCAGGGTTCAGGAGTGGTGCTGCGTTCAGAGTGCAGGGTTCAGGAGTGTGCTGCGTTCAGAGTGCAGGGTTCAGGAGTGTGCTGCGTTCAGAGTGCAGGGTTCAGGAGTGGGTTACATTCAGAGTGCAGGGTTCAGGAGTGTGCAGCGTTCAGACTGCAGGGTTCAGGAGTGTGCTGCGTTCAGAGTGCAGGGTTTCAGGAGTGTGTTACAATCAGAGTGCAGGGTTCAGGAGTGTGCTGCGTTCAGAGTGCAGGGTTCAGGAGTGTGCTGCGTTCAGAGTGTGCAGGGTTCAGGAGTGTGTTACAATCAGAGTGCAGGGTTCAGGAGTGTGCTGCGTTTCAGAGTGCAGGGTTCAGGAGTGGGTTACATTCAGAGTGCAGGGTTCAGGAGTGTGTTTACAATCAGAGTGCAGGGTTCAGGAGTGTGCTGCGTTCAGAGTGCAGGGTTCAGGAGTGTGCTGCGTTTCAGAGTGCAGGGTTCAGGAGTGTGCTGCTGCGTTCAGAGTGCAGGGTTCAGGAGTGTGCTGCGTTCAGAGTGCAGGGTTCAGGAGTGGGTTACATTCAGAGTGCAGGGTTCAGGAGTGTGCTGCGTTCAGAGTGCAGGGTTCAGGAGTGTGCTGCGTTCAGAGTGCAGGGTTCAGGAGTGTGTTACAATCAGAGTGCAGGGTTCAGGGAGTGTGCTGCGTTCAGAGTGCAGGTGTGCATATCTCCCATGGCAGTATAATCCCCCCCCCACACACACACACGCCGAGCTCTCCCTCCAAATTTCTCCCCCCCCCCCCCTTCAGTGCACAGTTCTCTCCTCCTCTGCCCAGTGCCTCTCTCCTCCTCTTCTCCCTGTCAGTACGCCGCGCTCCTCTCCACCCCAGAGAACAATGTACTGTCACTTACAGGAGGAGCTCACGCTGTCGGTGCGTCTGATAATGCTGCGGGTGCGAGACTACAGCTGTGTGCCCCTCTCAGTCCAGTCCCACCCCCAGTCCTCGTTTCACCCCACCACCCTCCTCACTCTGCCCCGCCCCCTCCTCTGTAGTATATGCAGGGAGAGAAGGGAGGGTTGAGTTGGCCTCCGGGATCGCTGTCACTTATAAAATACTGAAGCCGCACTTCTGTGTCAATAAGTGACTGCGATGAGTGGCAATACACGGGGTTCCGGCTGAGATAAAAAGTCATATTACTAATGGATTACAAGCTGTGGGCTGGCGGGGCCCCCCTGTCACAGGGAAGGGCCCGGGTCCCCCACAGGAGACCCAGAGATACCCCCTTATCATGGCCAGGCATCTAGCATTTCCACAGAGGTCAGGATTGGTGGCCTCCTGTAAATCCTTTTTTTTCAAAGGACAGTTGATTCCTAATTGTTCTGCTTCATATGCCGCCTCCTTGGGCCCAGTCTGTCTGGACGGTATGATCCCTTGCTGACTCGGCACCATCCACAGGCAGCTGCACTCTTCAGTATGACGCCGGAGTTGGATCCGATGCATGTTTAGTCCAGCTAGTCGCACAGACGATGAATTTCAGGCTTTGGAAGTGTAAGAAGACGATCTGCACACGGCGGCCGGGGCGGACGGGTTCCTGTGTTCCGGCAGCCAGACACATGGAGGCCACATGGAGGCTCCATTCAAATGTAACCAATCAGAGGAGCAGTTACATGACGGTGGATGTTTGTACAGAGAACAGATCTGGGGGTATGCTAGCAGTGTGCAGTACCATTTAGGATCACTAGATTCTCGCCAGCAGCCCACCCCTGGCCTCCCCCCCCCCCCCCCCCTCAGGCACCGCGTGAAGGTAGCCTAGGCAATAACCAGCCCACCTTGGCGCACATCAGGCCATAGATGGTCTAATGGGGCCCCTTCCAGTATCCGTGTTCTGCCCTGACTTTCATCTCATTTTTCTGTGCTGAACTGCCTCAGGTTGTTCTTGTTTTGTTGTTTGCTGACATCT